ATGGGCATCTACATGACGTACCTTCACCACCAGGTTCTGCACCCGGGCAGCAATATCTTTCCACAGCGCAGCAGCCCAGATGGGTTTACCTCTGCGTTGCCAGTTGCTCTGCTTCCATTGCTTCAACCACCCCCACAGGGCATTTGCCACCATCCATGAGTCAGTATAAAGTACTGGCCACTTTTCTCGTTCAGCAATGTCCAGGGCCAGCTGGATGGCTTTCACCTCGGCAAACTGACTCGATTCACCCTCTCCTTCAGCAGTTTCTGCAACTTGTCGTCCAGGACTCCATACAGCTGCCTTCCATCTCCGATGCTTTCCCACAATACGGCAAGAGCCATCAGTAAACAAGGCATACTGCTTTTCACTTTCTGACAGCTTATTATATGGTGAGGCCTCTTGAGCACACACCACCTCCTCCTCTGGTGACATTCTGAAATCTTTGCCCTCTGGCCAGTCCATGGTGATTTCTAGAATGCCTGAATGACTGAGATTTCCTATTCGAGTTTGTTGTGTAATTAGTGCAGCCCATTTACTCCATGTAGCATCGGTTACATGATGTGTAGAGGAGACCCTGCCTTTGAACATCCAGCCCAGCACGGGCAACCGGGGTGCCAGGAGGAGCTGTGCTTCAGTGCCAATCACTTCCGAAGCAGCTCGAACCCCTTCATAGGCTGCCAGTATCTTTCTCAGTTGGGGTATAGCTGGCCTCAGATCCTTTGTATCTCCGACTCCAAAAGCCGAGGGGTCGACTTCGAGTCTCCCCTGGAGCTTTCTGCCAGAGGCTCCAGGTAGGACCGTTCTCCCCAGCTGCAGTGTACAGTACAATTTTTACATCTGGCCGGTCCGGACCGGTCCAAGGGCTACTGCATGAACTATCTCGCGTTTAATTTGCTCAAAGGCTTGCTGTTTCTCAGGGCCCCATTTAAAATCATTCTTCTTCCGGGTCACATGATAAAGAGGGCTTACAATCAAACTGTAATTTGGGATGTGCATTCTCCAGAACCCCACAGCACCCAAGAAAGATTGCATTTCTTTCTTATTAGTTGGTGGAGACATTGCTGTTATCTTGTTGATCACATCTGTGGGGATCTGGCAATGTCCATCTTGCCATTTTATTCCAAAAAGATTGAATCTCCTGTGCACGTCCCTTGACCTTACTCCGTTTTATGGCAAAACCAGCTTTCAGCAGGATTTGGATTATTTTCCTCCCTTTCTCAAAGACTTCTTCCGCTGCATCGCCCCACACAATAATGTCATCAATGTATTGCAGGTGTTCTGGAGCTTGCCCCTGTTCCAGTGCAGTCTGGATCAGTCCATGGCAAGTGGTAGGGCTGTGTTTCCACCCCTGGGGCAGTCGGTTACAAGTGAACTGGACACCCCTCCAAGTAAAAGCAAACTGTGGCCTGCACTCTGCTGCCAAAGGAATTGAGAAAAATGCATTGGCAATATCAATCGTGGCATACCACTTGGCTGCCTTTGACTCCAGTTCATACTGAAGTTCTAGCATGTCCGGTATGGCAGCACTCAATGGTGGTGTGACTTCATTCAGGCCACAACAGTCTACTTTCAGTCTCCATTCTCCATTAGACTTTCACACTGGCCATATGGGGCTATTAAAGGGCGAGCGGGTCCTGCTGATCACCCCCTGACTCTCCAGTCTACGGATCAGCTGATGGACGGGAATCAGGGAGTCTCGGTTGGTGCGATATTGCCGCCGGTGCACTGTTGTGGTCGCAATTGGCACTTGTTGTTCTTCAACTTTCAGCAACCCCACAGCAGAGGGATCTTCTGAGAGACCAGGCAAGGTGGACAGCTGCTCAATTTCCTCAGTCTCCAAAGCAGCAATACCAAAAGCCCACCGGTACCCTTCTGGGTCTTTGAAGTACTCTCTCTTGAGGTAGTCTATGCCGAGGATGCATGGAGCCTCTGGAACAGTCACAATAGGGTGCTTTTGCCATTCCCTCCCAGTCAGGCTGATTTCAGCCTCCAGCACAGTCAATTCTTGGGATCCTCCTGTCACTCCAGAAATATAGATGGGTTCCACCCCTTGACAGCTTGATGGCATCAGGGTACACTGTGCACCGGTATCTACTAGAGCCTTATACTTCTGTGGGACTGATGTGCCAGGCCATCTGATCCACACAGTCCAGTAAATCCGATTGTCCCCTACCTCCACCTGGCTGGAGGCAGGGCCCCTCTAATGGTCATCACAGCGTTGGACACTTAAGCTGTGGTGAAAGGGATTATTCTTTGGAATAATATCACAGGAGCTGGAGTAAAATCAGCTCTTCCTGTCTGGGAAACTGCTCACCAGAGACTGAAGCCGTAGCTCTCATAGGATGATCAGTCTTGGCCCTTCCTCCCCTCTTCAGTTCACTCACCTGTTCCTCCAAAGCTGAAGTAGGTTTTCCATCCCACTTTGTCATGTCTTCTCCGTGATCCCGCAGGTAAAACCATAGGGTACCCCGTGGTGTATACCTCCTGTATCTCCTCTCTCGAACAATAGGACGCCTTTTGTTAATAGCTGAGACGTGTGTTGGTACACATGAGGAGCTGGATAAATCAGATAGATTGTCCTTCAATTGTTCGATGTCCTGGGACAGTTTTTTCACAGCTGAGATGATGGAAGGGGTGAGATTGTCTTCGAACTCTCGGAGTTTAGGAACCATTTCATCCACTGTTAGTGGTACTATGTCATTCCAGGTTACTGTTGCCAGTGAATGGGCATATGATGACGGTGCATTCTGTGTAAGTTTTCGCCACATGGGTCATGTACATTCAACTTCATCTGGATCTATGGGTGTATCCCCGTTATTCGGCTTGACGTGATAGATCATCTCTACGATGGCCGATTCCCTCAGAGACTGGATGCCTTTGTCTATAGTAGTCCACTTGGCCGAACGACTCGTAACATCGTCCTTGTATGGAAACCTTTCTTTCACAGCTGCCAAGAGCCGCCTCCAAAGGCTGAGGGACTTTTTCTCTCTTGCAATTGCTTTGTCAATTCCCCCTTCTCTAGCAAGTGATCCCAGCTGCTTGGCTTCTGTACCTTCTAGTTCGTGACCATCGGCCCCATTGTCCCAGCATCGGAGTAACCAGGTGATGATGTGCTCCCCTGGTTGACAGGTAAAATATTTTTGCATATTCCGCAGCTCGGTTGAGGTCCGAGGTCGAGAAGTTACCTCTTCTTCTTCTTCTTCGTCATGTGATGATGACTCCTGATCAGATTCTGGACCGGGTGGTGAATTCATTGTTTCTTCATCTCGCTTCATCCTTCTTGCCTCGTTTCTGCTTGTTCTCTTGCATACAGGGGCAACCGATATTGGTGCGAATTGGTCCTCTGGTTTGGCTGCAGTGATTATCACTGTGGTTTGAGTAGCAACTGTACTTGTTGCTGGGGGTGGTGCAGCTGCTGTGCTTGGAGCTGGGGTAACCGCGCTGTCTGTTGCAGTGGAAGTTTGAGGAGCTGCTGTACTTGACACTGGGGTAGCTGCGCTGTTCACTGCAGCCAAAGTTTGAGTAGCGACTGTTGCTTTGCCTTCAGATCCGCCGACATTCTTTTCCTTTTGAAGGTGCTGGATAGTGTTGAACAAGGCCCTGTAAGCATAGGCCAAGCCCCAGCACGTTGCCATGATTTGTCCATCTCTGGTATGGCCAGAATGACCACACACCTCATTTAAGTGTTTTACTAATTCTTCTGGATTTTGCAGTTGTTCGGTAGTGAAATTCCAAAGTACTGGAGGGGCCCACTGACCTAGACACTTGCCCATACTATCTCACACACCCTGCCACTCATGGCTGTCCAGCCTCAGGGAAAATCTCTTGGTCCTCCTACATCTTCGTTTGACCCCAGACAAGACCCAAACCTGACCCTGCTTAACTCTTGAAATCAGTTGTGGGCAAAACACACTCTGTATGCATGCTAGCATGGTGATTCCCATCACCATCAGCAAACAAGTCTCAACAGCATTAAAAGGCCATTCAAAAACTTCAAAACTCTCAAATGTAAATGGTCTGGGGGGGAGGACTGGGAGGATAAAAGGATGTCTCCTTCACAGGTTGAGCACCTGAGAAGGAGAAAAAAGATGTGTAATTGCTAAGCACTTCTATTATATACCTCCCAAAGTATAAAGGTGGTGACCACACTGGGAACATAAGCCAGATCAGTTTCATGATCAATGATTCTATTGTATTACAAGTCATTACCATAAAGTACAATGAGACAAAAACCTTAGTCCAAGCCCCACACTTGAAAAACACTAATCCAGCAAATACCGGATGGAAGTAAGATACGATATACTGAAACTGTGAGATCAAGAGGAACAACCTTGAGAGCCAATAAATCAGCATTGTGACGAGTGACTATTAATCTGGTCAGATCTGTCGTTATCTCAACCCCTCGTGCCCCACATTGGGCACCAAAAAGAACTGTCATGGTTTAAACCCAGTCAGGCAACTTGTTCACTCACTCCCAGTGAGTGGTGCCAGGCTGACAGCAATCAAGGCCCCCCCCCCCAGAGGAACGGGGAGGAGGATCAGAAGCATGCAACTCCTACGGGTCGAGACAAGAACAGTCCAGCAACCAATGTACAACACAAATCACCACCGCTACTATCAACTACAACAATGATAAGGGAAAATAACAAGGGAAGAGAATACGATACCACCAGCCAAGAAACGAGTCCCACCCGGAAGCCCGTGTCCTTCCGGGTAACTCCCAGTTACCCCCCACCCCGGGCATGACGTGCTGTGGTATGGAATACCTCTTTGGCTAGCCTGGGTCAGGCGCCTCGTCTCTGCTTCCTCACGGCTTCCCCTCCTCCCTGGCAGAGCATGAGCCTCACAAAGTCTTTGGTCAGGGTAAACATCACTTAGCAACAACTGAAAACATCGGTTTCACCAACATTGCTCCCAGGCTGGAAGTCAAAACACAGCACTGCACCAGCTACCACGAAGGAGAAACATGACTGCTACTGCTGAACCCAGGACATGCATATTATAGGATTAAAAACAAGTAATGGGTATATCAGCAAGCCTGAGCAGCTAGCCAGAATTCTAACTCAATCAGGCAGCATTTGAGAAAGCCTCCTCTCTTTGAAAACTCTCTGTTCTTTTCTCAGAAAAAAATCCACAACTCTTTTCCTCCACATTTCTAACTTCCAGCTGTAAATAGTGAGGTACCACAGAGCCTGCACCTAAAAAGCACAGACTCCAGCCAGCAGCCTTGACTGCAGCAAGCCTGTGCTCTGCAGGGCCAAAAGAAAGGTGCTTGAGGTTGGCTTTGGTTACTGGAGACCAACAGAGCTGATGACAGTTGGGGAAATAATGGAAATAAGTATTCATTGTTGAAAGTTCTGTAATTTAAATAATACTCAGACGGGTCTTTGTTCGTAACTTAAATACTTCAAATTAGAGGTATACACGTCACTAATGTTCCCACTAGCATCAAGAGGGCATTTGTCAAAGGCTTCAGTGGGAACCATTATTATCCCTTAATGATTTTACCATTACAAGACTTACCTATTTTACTATTGCAAATCATAACCCACAATCAAATCAACAAAATGTGACAAAATCAAGGTGTAGGAGCTCAGGAAGTCTTGGCAATCACCGCTTTTGTCTGCCGGAAATGAAGAGCCCTTCTCTGGTTTCTGTTTCTGCTGTTATGAGTCAGATTGCATTGCAGTATGTTCTGTTAAATCAATCACACTGTAAAATACATTAACACTAATCACTCCAAAAATCTTTTTCATGTAATTTTAGGATGACAATGACACAAAGCAATCAAAGCAAGACCACTGACATATACAGCTAATGCTAGTATATAGTCTTTCAGAGTTATAGCCCAAATGGTAGTTGCACATTCCATTGTATTTTTCCTCCTACATCATACCCATTACAATGGCACCAGTGACAAAGAGCACCACTACTAGGATCTATCAGCAGCTCAAACTTTCTCAAAGGAGGAAACCTGCTAGTGCATATTTAATATTTAGTTTCTAATTACTCCCTTAATTTGTGACTCTGTTGTCACATGTGATTTTATGATACTTGCAAAAATCAAAGAAAGCATGTCTTGTTGTTCCAGTAAAAATGGTGAGGTATGGTGTTCAGCAGCTGTCTTCTTCAGAAAAGGGAGGTGTTTCTCAGAAAATCTTTCCATTGAGTCCAGAACAAGAAATGGAAGTTGGTAATCAAGATTTCAGTTCTCCAGTGTTTCTAGAAGAGAGACAGGAGTGTATGAAATTTGAATATAGCTGCATTAGTTCTCCCTCTACCCCACTGAAAAACAAGAAGTTCATAGGTTATTATCATATAGAGTTCTCCAGGTACAACTAATCATTCATCATGTACTTGTTCTGATAATCAACTACTTAGTGCTATGCAGCAGCTTATTAAAACTCTTACTATATATTGTAATGCGCTTGTTATACATCTGGTTGCAATATGGGCAAAAAGACAGAGAACTTCTATTTTGTAAAGTAAAAAAAAAAAAAAAAAGTTAATATACTCAAAACCCGGGCCTGCATGTCTGGAAAATCAGTAGAACACATAAAAATTTTTAAAAAAAAAGGAAAAAAGCAAACATACATGAACAAATGGAAAGTTTAATTAACACCAGAAAGTAAAGATGGATTCTGCACATTTTTCATGATCAAGTGACCTGGAAAAAGAGAGTGTCGTGGTTTAAATCCAGCCTGTCACTCAGAAACCATGGAGCTGTTTACCCACTCCTCCTCCTTCTCCCCCCTGTTCCCAGAGGGATGGGGAGGAGAATCGAAAGAATGTAATTCCCACAGGTTGAGATAAGAACAGTTCAGTAAATAAGGTATAACACAAATCACTGCTGCTACCACCAATAATAATATTGATAAGGGAAATAACAAGGGAAGAGAATACAACCGCACACCACCCCCCGACTGATACCCAGGCCGACCTGAGCAGCAACCTAGCCCTTCCGGGTAACTGCTGTGGTATGGAATACCTCTTTGGTCAGTTTGGGTCAGGTGTCCTGTCTCTGCTTCCTCCTGGCTTCCCCTCCTCCCTGGCAGAGCATGCGACTCACAAAGTCCTTGGTTGAAGTAAACATTACTGAACAGCAATTAAAACCATCAGTGTTATCAGCGCTGTTCCCAGGCTGAAAGTCAAAACCAGAGCACTTCACCAGCTACTAAGAAGGAGAAAAATGACTGCTACTGCCAAACCCAGGACAGTATCCACCCCTTATTCCATACCATTCACGTCATGCTGAGATCTCACATTCTCCCATGTGAAGACAGGCTGAGGAAGCTGGGGCTGTTCAGCCTGGAGAAGACATCCAGTATCTGAAGGGGGCCTATAGGGATGCTGGAGACGGACTCTTCATTAGAGACTGTAGCGACAGGACAAGGGGTAATGGGTTAAAACTCAAACAGGGGAAGTTTAGGTTGGATATAAGAAGGAAATTCTTTCCTGTTAGGGTGGTGAGGCACTGGAAAGGGTTGCCCAGGGAGGCTGTGAATGCTCCATCCCTGGCAGTGTTCAAGACCAGGCTGGACGAGGCCTTGGGTGATATGATTTAGCGTAAGGTGTCCCTGCCCACGGCAGGGGGGTTGGAATTAGAGGATCTTAAGGTCCTTTCCAACCCTAACTATTCTATGATTCTATGATTTTCAATATACTGTCACTCTTATCTCATATAGATGCATATATATACATACACACACACACACACGCACACACACACACACACACACACACACACACAGATCATTCCTTAGTGATGGACCAATCCCTATAAAGCTGCCGAGTCCATTCGGTCCATGATGTTGGGCTCCATCTCTTTTAACAGTCTTTTAGAGCAGGAGAGGCTGTGTGCAGTGCTTGATCGTTGTCTACTGATGCTGATCGTTCATTTACCACAGAATTTTGTCTGGTTTCATCAAAGTTCATTCTTTGCTGGGATGATGGTCGGAGGGAAGTCAGGGCCAGTCACTGGTGATCTGAAGAATTCTAGTTGGTGGACTATAAAAGTACTACACAGCAAGCAACAGCATACAATTGAGTTCACTGGCTGTTTTCCCCTAAAATCAAATCCCCTTGAGATATACATCGGACTTCCCCATCTTCCCGCATTACCCACCAAGTATATCCAGGTCTCTGAGCAAAAGCAATCCCACGAGTGGGTTTGTCTTTACCTGAAACAGGAATAACCCAGACTGTCTTCCGCAGCAAATTCTTCATATGCACCACGGGAACTTTGTCCCCCTCTACAATATGTAAAAGTTCTGACTGGGCTGGGCCAGCCCTGTTGGCAGATCCTCTGGTGTTGACCAACCAGGTGGCCTTTGGTAAGTGTGTATCCCAATGCTTGAAAGTTCCCCCACCCATTGCTCTCAGTGTAGTTTTTAGCAGCCCATTGTACCATTTGATTTTCCCAGAGGCTGGTGCATGGTAGGGCATGTGATATACCCACTCAATGCCATGCTCTTTAGCCCAAATGTCTCTAAGGCTGCTCTGGAAATGAGTCCCATTGTATGACTCAATTCTCTCTGGGGTGCCATGTCTCCACAAAATCTGTTTTTCAAGGCCCAGGATAGTGTTCCAGACAGTGGCGTGAGGCACAGCATATGTTTCCAGCCATCAACTCACATAAAACCTTGAATGGTTATAAAGTGTTTACAGTACAGATGAGAAAAAAACAAGTTCAAATAACAAATTAAGTAATTAAAATTGAAAAAGTAACTTCAAAAAAAATCTTACAACAGAAATTCTGGAAATTATATGCATGATGATATTTGACATTTTATTTACACAAAGACACATAATTTTCCCCTCATCAATTTATATTTCTTCTTCTTTTACAGTTATTTAGCTGCTGTGTTATCTCAGATATGATAACTATTTTTTTCACCTTTGGTCATTAGTATTTGCATAGCCATGGCTCCAGACACCTATAGGATGCCCATATTTGAGATAAAGTATCTACAAAAGACAACAGAGAATTCTGGTTCAGAGAGGCAACAACCTAAAACTTTCATCCAGCAAAGACACTCTCTTTTCAGAAGAAAATGACAGGTGAAAAAGGCTACTCACAACTGGACCTACATGACTTTATTTTGTAGGAGCATTACAGACCTTTCCCTGCCTGTTTTGAATAGCTTTTAAACAAGGATTATATATGTATGCCAGTAAAACACCTCCTCCCCCAGGTAACTCTGTCTTTGGACTAGCCTGCATGTTCCCACAGGAGAAAGTTTTCATGTTTCCATCCTTGCACCACCCTGAAATTACTTGGAAGGTATGGTTCCCATACCAATTCCAGAACTTCTAAATTTTGCCTGAGTTTCTGAAAATTGTGTGCCCCAAATTGTAAGACTGAAAGAGAATCAATATAATTTTTTTCTCATAGCTACAGAGCAAAGTTACTCACTTCAGTTTTCCTCAATTCTGGCAATTCAGGGCACCATAAGTCATTATTCTCTCTTACCAACTACTGTTCCAAAGCACATATCTACATAAGGGGAAATAAAATACTTCTACAAACTCATCTTTCAAGACCCAAGAGAACTGTCTCACTGAGAGAGCTTCTTGACATGACACAAAGAAAAACCCTCAACATAATCACTGCAGAGTAATCTGAAAATGTAATCATATTCTAGACTTGTCACTTCTGTTTCTGAGACAGGCAAGTACATTTCTGACATTTAGGGCCTGTTACTGCTGCCACTGAAGTTAAAGACAAACCCTCATTTGACTTGAACAGGCACAGACTATTATGCTACAGATCAGAGCTATTGTAAAAGAGCAAGGATCTTCCTCTGAAGGACAGATACACACATAGGTGAGCTGCTGCTCTTCAGCTGTTCTACAAACTATATTGTGTGGTTTCACGAAACAGAGAGAGACAAGCAGTAATAGGATCCTCGTGAGAGGAACCAAATTAAATTTTCCTAAGATTATTTTACCTTCCCTGTTTCCCCTAGATAAATAAATAAACAAAAGGAGGAGAACAAAACAAGTTTATTCTAGTGCTTGACTAATTAACAGTACTAATTAGAGTTTAATGGCAATGATAATCATATCCTTCTGAGTCTACTGAGGTTGCCACATCAGATGGATTGCAATGTTACCCCTCCCTCTATGAACTTAAATCAATATCACTTCAAACCTAAAAGGGTCGTTTCATGAAAAGTGATCAGAGAGCCACCTTCCATTTCTGTTCTAAAATGATAAAATCAAAAGCCTTTTGAGTGGTGGGAGGAGAAAGGATAAAGCACTACTTTGAGTAACAAAATCAGTAAATGAAGCTCCTTACTGTCCCATATAAACATCATTTTTAGGTTTTCATTTGAAGTAGTCAAATATGAACAATCCCCAAGCTAATATTCACAGCCTCTATGCAACTAGAATGTTTCTAATAAAAACACAGAAATACAGAATAATTAACTTAGTGAGGACCTTCGTATTCCAATCTACCATTCCAAGTAGGGCTACCAAGAAAAGTTTACTCATGGCTTTGTCTAGCTAAACATTGAATACCTCCAGGGAGGAGCCCACCCTCCAGATACGTATTCCAGTGTTTGATAACCTTCATGAGGAAAAAAAATTTTCTTATATCAAATAGGAATCTCATTGCAACTTGTGTTACTCAGGGAAAGGCATCAGACGCCCCCCTGTAGCTCAAGGACTGGATGGCAGCACCCTCTCACTGGAGTCTTATACGGGTCGAGACCTTGCCCTGGTTTTGGTTAGGATAGAGTTAATTTTCCTCCTAGTAGCTGGTGCAGTGTTGCATTTTGGATTTAGTATGACAATAATGCATGGATGTTTTCGTTGTTGCTAAGTAATGCTTTTCCTCTAGTCTCTCATGCTCTGCCAGTGAGGAGGGGCAGCAGAAGCCAGGAGGGAGCAGAGACATGACACCTGATCCAAACTAGCCAAAAGAGTATTTCATACCATGTCATGCCCAGTATATAAACTGGGGGGAGTTACCCAGAAGGCCCAGGTAACTTCTTGGGTCAGGCTGGGTATCGGTCAGCAGGTGGTGAGCAGCTGTATTGTGCATCACTTGTGTTTCCTGAATTTTCTTTTCCCTTCTCTCTTTTCTTATCGTTACTATTGTTGTTATTATTTCTATTATGATTATACTTCATTTCAATTATGAAGCTGCTCTTATCTTAACCTGTGGCTTTTACCTTCTTCTGATTCTCCTCACCAATCCCATGTGCGGAAGGCAAGGGAAGAGTGAGCAAGATACTGTGTGGTTCTTTGTTGCTAGCTGGAGCTAAACCATAACAGGCCTCTGATGTGCAAAGTCACTCCAGTTCATGCTGGAGATCATGCCTGATGGCACACTGACACTATCACTGGGCAGTTTTAAGTAGTCCCATACTGTCTTGAGCACAATTTCTGGGACTCTCTGCAACCCCACTAACTGCTACTACAACTCTTATCTCCACTAGCTACAGGCTGAGAGCAGTGCTCTTATATAGCCAGCTGAAAGATGCTTGACTTTCTCTGAGCAACTGTCAGTTGGAGACAATAGCTGTAGCTATTCCTAAACAAGAAACAGCCAACAGAGGCTCTCTAACAGGGAGTTCATAGAAGCAAAAGCCTCTGGAAGTTAAACCTCACTGACAGCAGCAAGCTAGGAGTTCCCAGGCATTGCAGCTTTCAGATGTTCCCTGAAGCTCTCTCCAGAAGCAGATCAGAAACTGCTGGAACAACTCCTGCCTTTTGGTTGTCTGTCTCTGTCTCTGCTTGCTCTTTCAAGCCCCAAATGCTCAGGGACAAATGAATGGTTTATTCTTTAAAGAAATATCAATGAAATCTTTGGGAAGGATCATAAAAAATACACAACTGTAGAGCAGTTGGACCAAACCTATTCTGAGTTTACTAACAAAATATAATCAGAGGAGACTAACACAGAGTCTGGGAAGTTTCTGAAACATGCTAGTAAATATCCAGACCCAGCACTCAGCTAAGACAACCACAGAGTATATAGGATATAAAGCAGACAAGAAATTCCTATAAAGAATGGATAGAAGAACACTAAAGCAGTATCTCTGCTTTACACAAGGCCACACCTGACCGTTGCATGAGAACAGGGAAGAAATATGGAGACGTTATGGAGCAGCTAAAAGCTAACATAAGGATGGCGCAATGGTACTAAGGTACGTATTCAGGTATAGGTCAGGGCCTCACATGAATAATAAACATATACAGCAGGAATACTCTTATGAGTATTATAATAATGAAAACAACATCTATGAATGTAAAATTCAAGAAACAGAATTGGAGCATCCAGAGGTCAGAATGAGAGTACGAATGCTGTTGTTTTTAGTGCTAAAAGCAGATGGACAGTAGAGCTAAGTCTGATATCAGCTTTTGTTGTCATTAGTTCTAAACATGGTAGAAGGAATCCTATAAGGGAGAAACAACTAGCTAGCAAACACAAGCTTTTGGTCTGTCTTAGCCAACCATCCTACCTCATTGTTATTTTTTTGTTTCTTCTTAAAATAATCATAAATACTAAGAAAAAAATACTGAAGTCTCTAATTTTGCAAGAAAAATTGTCAATTTGAAGAAGCCCTTGAGGGGCAGGAACTTCTCCCTGTTCCCTGATCGGTCTCTCTCTATCGCTCCCACTAGGAGTAATATCTTTTCCTATCTGTTTTGCTAATTCAAATATATATTTCCACTAGTGATTAGAGCTCTGATCCTACAATTAGTTAAACACAAGCTTAATTTTATGTATGTGAATCATCCCATCAACATTCCATATGCCAGAGACTGTGTGGAATTGGTGCCTAAAAATGAAACCATTATGAATTAATTCCATTTCTGGAATGGAGTTGTAGAACCAGGGTTGGAAAGTACACGAAGAACTGAGATGCTGGAACATAAACACACAGCACAACACAGGCCAATGAAGTAAGTGTTTAAAATAAAAATTAAAATAAAATAAAATAAAATAAAATAAAATAAAATAAAAATCACACAAGAGTTGATGTTATTAATTAAGAAGCTTCATTCTTATTACCCAATAGTCAATGCTTCTCCAACAAAAACATGGCAAAATGCCTCATTTTAAAGAGCACATGCCAGACTTTGGATTTAACTCTGCCTGGTATTGGCCACTACAGCATCATAAATTTGGTACATTTTTTATTCTGGCCCCATATGTTAGAAGTAGGTCTAAACCCAACTCTTCTCTACGTACGCAAAACAAAACAAGCCTCAGGGATGTATAATTACAATGAAAATCTCTAACACGTACTTAACATTTTACATGTGAAAAACACTTTACAAATATTAACTAAGTAATTAGAACTAAATATAACTAATTAAGACACTAATGAATTAATAAGTACTGTGTATGCTGCTTAAAATATCTGCAACATTTTAGTAATGTTCATTACAACAGTGGTAACCGTTTGTTCTATTGCAGGAACACATGCCAGAATCAGACTTGCAGTGTAAAAGAAGGTTGCAGAACACCATTTAATAGCTCAGAGTGAAATCTCAATACTTAACTTGCTGAACATGTCTAAATGTAATGGGCCCAGAATCTCTCTCTTCATTGACATTTTTGCCACCTACTAAAAGACAAGTGAATTTCACAACTGTTACTCAAAAGCAAACGCGACACTACTTCAAAGTTCACTGGAACCTCACACTATTAGTAAATTTAATCTTCTTCAGTCTTTCCACAAAATATTTTATAGAATCATCTTTTCCTCTGTACTAAATCCACTATTTTAATATATATTAAAGTGTTAACCTAGTGCATGCTCAACATTTAATATCACATGCTGTACACAGAGTCACTGTCAGAAGATAGCAAGTAATTTCTTCACAAATATCACCACTTTGTAGTTCCAAACTATCCAAGGCTTGCCTCCTTCTCTAGTTTGTAAATACACTACTCATAGGCTATGGCGGCAGGGGATTATTCTGATTTTAACTTGCATATCAAAACA